CGCCGGAAGTACAGGGGCTGCCGGAAGCTCTGCTGATGCCGGAAGCACAGGTGCTGCCGGTGGCGGAAGCTCTACTGACACTGGAAGTACAGGTGGTGCCGGTGGCGGAAGCTCTGGTGACACCGGAAGCAAAGGTGGTGCCGGTGGCGGAAGCTCTGGTGACACCGGAAGTACAGGCGGTGCCGATGGCGGAAGCTCTTCTGACACCGAAAGTACAAGTGGTGCTGGAAGCTCTACTAACACCGAAAATACAGGTGGTGTCGGTGGTGGAAGTACAAGTGCTGCCGGCAGCGCAAGCTCTACTGAAACTGGAAGTACAGGTGGTACCGGTGGCGGAAGCTCTGCTAACACCGGAAGTACAGGTGGTGCCGGTGGTGGAAGCTCCGTGGACACCGGAAGCACAGGTGGTGCCGGTGGTGGAAGCTCTGCGGACACTGGAAGTACAGGTAGTACCAGTGATGGAAGCTCTTCGGACACCGGAAGTACAGGTGGTGCCGGTGGTGGAAGCTCTGCTGACACCGGAAGTACAGGTGGTGCCGGTGGTGGAAGCTCTGCTGAGACTCAAAGTATGACTGGTGCTGGTAGTGGAACCGCTGTTGGTGGCCCGAGTGGAAGTCCAACTGATAGCTCAGGCTCAGGTGAAAGTGCTGGTGGTGAAACCTCTAGTGCTGGTGGTTCAAGCGGAGGAAAATCTGGTATGTCCACATCAAGTTCTATGGGCGGTGGAAAGTCTCAGGAGAAGAGTAAAAGCACCACTAGTGGAAGCGCCAGTGGGGGAGGCACTTCTGACGGTGCAAGTGGAGGTTCAACTGATAACTCTGCAGCAGGAGAAAGTTCCATGAATACTGAAGGTTCCTACTTAGATTCTACAGGTGGAAGCGCCATGGGGAGCCCCACCGGAAGCCCTTCTGGTAGCGGTGGAAGCTCAATCACTGGAAGTGAAACTGCAACCTCATCTTACCAAGCTGGAGGAGCATCCGCAGGTGGCCCAAGTGGAAGTACTACTGATAGCACTGCTGCAGGAGGAAGCTCCACAACCCAAACAAGTACACAAGGTGGTTCAGCTGAAGGAAGTAGTGGAACCTCTGAAGACAAATCTTCCAAAGGAAAATCCGGGTCTATGAGCAATGAAGGTTCTTCCAACTATCAAAAGACGCACTCAAAATCCTCAAACAAGAGCTCCATCAGCCATTCTTCAGAGGAGAAAAGCTCCAGCAACTCTAAATAAACTCGTAGGTTTGGGACAAATTTATCAATACTATAACTTCAATAAAGAGACGGCCCTGCTAATTTACAGCAGCGAGCTAAATACTAGAGAGTCACCTACATGCGTTAGCTTACTGCATGCACAGTTTTAGTTTTTTTTTTCTTTTTACATTTTGTTGTAAAATATGAATATAACAAGTTTTGAGTATATACATGATAGGGAAATTGCAAGTTATATCGTGAAAAAATATTATAATTCGATATCTAACACATTACCCTAGTATGCTAGACAATATCGTGTATCTTTCGAAATAATGCCTTTATGTCCTTCTCTGTAACCGATTAAACCTGATAAAACAAAAAAAAACAATGAAAGTAAAAATTTACCTTATTCTCTTGTAAGCTGTGGATCTTTCATATTCACACATATCCTAAAGGTTTTTTTTCTATACGATGTTACTAAAGATTAATTTATTTATTTCAGATACGTGGGGACTGTCGATGCAAACCACTATGGTATCATACTAATTTAGCAAGCATAACCATGAGAATGTTACACAGAGTTGCTCGGCTTCACTTTGATCATCCAACCATCTTCATAGGGACTTGAGTTGATCTACAACACACACAAATGGCAGAGGTAACTTTGTGGTTCGAGAGAGACTTTACTTATGCAACTCGAGAAGTATTAGAATCCTTGGAAATTGGCATCGCGTTTGGCAAGGACGAAAGTTATAAGTTTATAGAATTGCTTCCCCTTTATTCATCACAATACAAAGGTATTTATACAAGACCTTAAACCGACTTGGTTAAAGATAACAACATAATTAAACCTATCATTACCTCATAAACTTCATATATATTTCTAAACTTCCACGTCTTTATCATTAACTTCAGTATCTCCAATACTTCCCCTCAAGTTGGGAATATGAAAATTTCTTACTCCCAACTTGAACAACAAGGTTTGAAATTTCACTCTCCCAAGTGCCTTTGTCAACACATCTGCTAATTGCTCTGTAGTCCTAACATGAACGGTCTCCAACAAACCGTCTTGTATCGCTTCTCTCCCTTGATGACAATTGGATTCTATGTGTTTATTTTGCTCGTGGAACACTGGATTCGCCGCAATGTGAATGGCTGATTTGCTGTCACAAAACAGCTTCACCGGTCTTGTTTGCTTAGCTCCCAACTCTTGCAGTAACCTACGTAGCCATTTTATCTCTCTTGTTGCCATCGCCATTGACCTGTATTCGGACTCTGCAGACAAATGAGATACAACCGCCTGCTTCTTTGTTTTCCAAGACACTGGTGCCTCCCCCACAAGTGCTACATACGCACTCAACGATCTCCTAGTAGTAGGGCACGCAGACCAGTCTGCATCACAGTAGACAGACAACCTCATATCACCTTGAGAACCTAACAAAATCTATTGTCCAGGAGTTCCTTTCAGATACTTCACCACTCTCAAAGCTGCAGTCCATTGTAACTCTCTAGGCATTTGCATAAACTGAGACAAAATATGGAACTGAATATGATATATCAGGCCGTGTTATTGACAAATAAATCAATCAACCTACTAATCTTCTATACTTCTCAGCATCACGAAGAAATGGACTCAAGTCCAGAGCTAGCTTATGTTGTATTTCCATTGGTGTAGCAACAGGTTTAGCACCAAGTAGACCAACATCAGAGATCAAATCAAGCGTGTACTTGCGCTGTGTAAGCATAAACCCTTCTTCCCCACAGCCAACTTCTATACCAAGAAAATACTTCAACTTCCCTAGGTCTTTCATGTGAAAACATCTTCCCAAGTGCTCTTTAAACTTGGTCAAAATTTTCATATCATCACACACAAGTAAATCATCTACATAAATGAGAACTCGCAACTCCACATTCCCTTTAGAATACACAAACAAAGAATAGTCTACGTATGAATGATGAAAGCCAAACCTTTTCGGAGCAGTAGTGAGCTTAGCATACCAACATCTAGGTGCTTGTCTCAACCCATAAATTTCCTTGTGTAACCTGCATACTTTGTTTGGCCCTTTAGCTTGAAAACCTTGCGGAAGCTTCATATACACTTCTTCTTTAAGACCACCATGCAAAAACGCATTGTGTACACCCGTCTGGTGTACTATCCACCCCTTCCCTGCCACTATCCTCAACAATCATCGAATTGTTGTCATTTTAGCAAAATGAGCAAACGTTTCCTTATAATCACATCCTTGTACTTGTCTGTTGCCCAAAGCTACCAATCATGATTTGGATCTCTACATAGTCCCATCTGCGTTATACTTGAACTTATAAATCCACATGTTCCCAATAGCTTTATTTCAAGGAGGCAAATCAACTACACTGAAGGTCTTGTTTTCCTCAAAAGCAGTTATTTCTTTCTTCATAGAGTTACGCCAAATATCTTGATCTATAGCCTCTTTAAAATTCCTAGGCTCTCTCATATTTGTTATTGATGCTAAGAAAGCCTTATGAGCAGGTGAGAATTTATCATCAGAAATATAGTTTGTGAGAGGATACGGCGTACCTTGAACCGTCGACAAAGAGTCTGACTATGTACTTGAAGTGATGAGATCGTGATGGGGTTGTATTTCTGGTAGACACCGAGCATTGTAATTCACATAGTCACGTAACCTTACTGACGGTATCTTTTCTCTACAACCTCCTCCCAATTCTGGTTCTGTAACTATACTAGTAATTTTTGTAACCTCACTCTCATCCACTCCCACAGTACCAACTTGTTCTGTTGTAGTTACTACTGGTGTGTTCTGTTCTGTAGCCTTCGTCAGAATATTCTCATCTCTCCTATCTCTGCTTCCTTTGGGTTAGAAACCCTTTCTACATTATCAACCACCACATTAACAATCCAACCATCATCTGGACTCCCAGTCACTTCTCTTATTTATGTTTTATTATCACTGTCTTGTGCGAATGGAAACACATTTTCGACAATACTGACGTCTCTTGACACCAAGAACTCATTGTTCTCCAAATCATAAATCCTCCAAGCTTTCTTACCAAAAGGTTAACCCACAAACACACATCTTCTGCTCCTTTCCCCAAACTTATCCTTATCACGGTCACGTTTGTGTACATAACACAAAGAACCAAATACCTTCAATGAGCTATAGGATGGTTTAACTTCAAACAATACTTCATACGGTGACTTCCCCTTCAAGATTTTGGTTGGTGTCATATTTATAACGTGTGTTGCAGAGGTAATAGATTCCCTCCAGAACTTCAGAGGCATCTTTGATTGAAACAATAATGCCCTCGCCACATTTAATATGTGTATGTGCTTCCTCTCCACTCGTCCATTCTGTTGCAGTGTGTTTACACAACTAGTCTGATGCAGTATTCAATTGTCTTGAAAATACTTTCCTGGACACATGAATTCCATTCCATTGTCACTTTTAACTACTTTAACTGCTTGACCAAACTGCTTTTCTGCATAAGCACAAAACCTTTGTAATACATTCTTCACTTCCGACTTTGCAAGTAGAAAATGTGTCCAAACTGATCTTGAATAATCGTCCACTATAGTGAGAAAATAAGTAGCCCCACATGAGGCTGGAACTCTATACGGTCCCCATACATCCACATGAATTAACTCAAAAATCTTGCTTGTTTTATTCATACTATCAGGAAACACATCTCTTGTTTGTTTTGATCTAAAACACACGTCACAGTGACTAAAACAATATTTATTCTTAACACCAGAAATCGAAGACAAATCAGAAAACACCGAAAATGCAGGATGCCCAAGTCATCGATGCCATAAGAGTTGATCTTTAGTTCCATCAGCTCTGCTAGCTCGTGCTACTCTCACATCTTTAAAGAAATAAACCCCATCACGTTCTTCACCGGCTCCAATCCGAGTCTTCGAAGAATGGTCCTGCAAAACACAAATGGTGTCTGTAAATAGATCAAAACAATTCATGTGTTTTAACAAGTTAGATACGGATATAAGTGTGCAATCCAATTTTGGCATGAGAAGCACATCTCTGATACTAATACGATCAGTAAGAACCATGTCACCCATCTGAGTTGACACTGAAGTTCCTCCATCTGCAAATCCCACCTTACAGGGTTGCGTGCTTCTCACGTTAACTAGCAATAAGATGTTTCATGTCATATGGTGCGTATGGAAACAGATTGATACTATCAGTTGAAGAACCTATTCCGTTTCGATTTCGCCGATGCGTAGTAGCGGAGGAAACTTGATCGATGGTAAGTTGCTTTGCTACTCTTAAATTTTCCAAATCTGCATTCATCCATTGTTGTATGTCAGAATATGGTTTTGTAAAGTAAAGTATTCAGAAGTTTGAGGTTTTTACTTTTCATACGAAAATGTTAATTATATTTCATTTTTCAGTCAATATAGTTGACTGCATATACAAATGAAAATATACTCGATGACGATAACTATGTGAACTTCTATTGCTTTATTTTGTATAAGTTTGTAAACAAAATATACTATCTATATAGGTAAATAAACTAGTACATATGTTTATATGTGGAAGACAGTGTTGTATATAAATGGAATAGTATAGATGTTTGTCTGTCTAATATAGTAATTTTTATGTTATTAGTATGTGGTTGGGAAGTAGTTTTCTGTTTACAGCTAATGTTATTTATGAACCCAGTCGGGTTATGATGCCACATAATTGATAATGACAATCTAATAGATTTTGTTCTGCAGCTCTGGTGGTGATGACTAACGACATTAGGCCAATGAGTTTGTGTCGGCGTCTCAGAAAAGGAGAGAAGATGTAAACGAAACTCGCCGACTATACTCTATCCGGTGAAAAAGTTATAGAGTAGCATATGGTCTTCGCCGTGTTCATTAGTAACGAGTTAATAATCATTTTAACCATTTTCAGATAGAGTTGGTAAAGACATCGTCCTCCACTCCTCCACTTCGCCATCCATAGCCTCCCATCTTCTTAAAATGTTGCAATGTAATACTGTTTTCTTCTATTCTATTTGAAGAAAGTAGAATATAATGTGATTTTACAGTGAATAAGAATATGTTATGTTTTGAAGTTGTATGACTGATACGGATATTGGTTGATGCTTTAACCACACCAACACAAGTGATTTACAAACTTAATTTTATCACTTTGTTAAAATCCATATAAATGATTTAACTCACAAGTCTTTCTACTTTCTATTTTATTTATGATAGTATCATATTATAAAATATTATATACTATTTTCAGCTTTTAATTTTATTTAATATCTTATAAATTGATTTATAGTTTATATTTGAGTTTTCGTTTGGGTTTAGTAAATGATATTTATGGTTTAGGATTTATTAGTTAGGGTTTGGGTAATGTATAATATTTAGGAGTTGTGAGTGAGGTTATAATCCTATACTACTTTGATAATAAGGAATATAACACTCGATGTATATTTATGTGGTCAATAAACAAGTGATATGAATGACTCCTACTTTTTTCATGTTGAATATATTTATATTATAGTTTATATTTGGGTTTGGGTTTAGTGATTTTGATTTAAGATTAAGTATATGAGAATTGGGATTGGGTTGGGATAATGTTTAATATTTAAGGATTCTGGGCACGTAGGTTATAATATTATACTATTTCGATGATATGGAATAGAACATTTGGTGTATATTTATATGATGAATAAACGTAAACGTATGACGTGAATGACTTCTTTTTCTCTCATGTGGAATAATTTTCAAATGCTCTTAACTTTATATTTTATCAGTCATGTTATTTCATTCTATAAGTTTACATGGTACCTATAATGGAAAGAGATAAAACCGCGTATTTTGTGGCATTAATGTTAAAAATCACATATATCAAAATCAATAAACTCACCTAATTTATGCTCCATATTTGGTTAGTAGGCAAATATGTCCTATATGATACATTAAATTTTAGAAAGTAATAGTGATATATTATAGAAAAATTGCATTGTATAGCATATTGTATCAACTTTTAAGTATTTTCTCTTTAATATTATTATTTTTGGAATACTCTTTATTGTTATTAAATTTTTAACACTTCCCAAGTTAATAATTTTCACGTGAATTCGTTATAAAAATGGTACATAAAATAAATAAAATCACTCCTTATATAGTTGTTTCCATTGATGAAAAAACTTGTTTCCATTTCTAATGTTGTTTATTTTCTTAAATACATATAGGCTTGAACGTTCATTGTTTTCATCTTAACTAATTTTTAGTATTGGTTTGAAAATTTATTTTCCTCAAATTTAAGATTCAAAAATGATTGCTTCTGCAAATCCAGTGATACGTATGAGAATCTAAATGAAATCATCGTGACATCCAAATCTTAATCTACTAGCCATACTTAGCTTTATCCGACCTAGGGAAGATTTGTTCTTTGATGCAATATTTTGGATGCTTACATTACCTTGAATCTTCATAAGTCAAAGTCCCAAAAGAAAATAAAATTCATATTAGATAAATATTCTTTAATAGCATTAAGCACTTTTGTTTTTAAAATAATACATGATATCTTTGTAATAAAAATAAAAGACTTTTTATTACATATTGTGGTTTATTTTAGTGACTAAAGTATATAGATCGCTAGTATTTAGAGGTTGAATCAGGGTAAAAATTCTGGGTTTAAAATAATTTAGTCATTTTACCTTTTAATAAATACTATTCTGGAGTTTTTTTTTCTTTGTTTGATATTTTGCATATTTTCTCAAAAAGATATTTTGTGATATCGAAAACATTTGCCTTCATACTTATGTCCGCAAAATATGCCAAAAGTCCACTGGAATCAATGCAAATAAAACACTAATAGAAGAAACAAAAACATGCCTTCAATAAAACACACAATATAACCAACGTCGAGTTGGCCTAGTAATAAAGGGTTTGCGGCTAACTACTGTCACTTAGACTCAACTCACGGTAGCAAAGACTATTTACAATATTTGGGTTCCCGACAAAGATGTGAATTCACTTTCTTCTTTTTTTTTTACCAAAAACACACAAAATATGCACATCCAAGTCCTAAGTGTATATATATGCATGGTCTCAGTGAGTAATGAAATTTAATTTGTATTCGGAGCTATATATTGTACCCACCCTAGAATTAAAAGTCTAAACCTCAAGGTGAATTGGGTTTATTCTACAACAGAATCTAATTTCGAATAAATCATAAATCATATTTTTTATCCATATAATGTACTCTCTAGCCATTCACATCCACCGTCTCCGGAGTTTCACCGTTGAGATTGAGATCCAAACCCGGACTTGAACTCGAGCTAGTACTAGAGCTAGAGCTAAAACTCTTTTTCATATGAAAGCCGTTTCCAGTGGAAGTCTCCATTGAAAATTGTTTTTCACTCTCCGTTGCAACTCTTACGAAATTAGACATCACTCGTTCCCATTTTGAAGTTATTTCCTTAATTGCTTGTTGTTGTGATAACGTAAGCGTCAAGGAACCAGTGTTCTGGCTTTCTTGTCCCGACACTGCTTTGCTTATAATCGATTGCAAGACGGTAAGAGTCTTCATCACCTCTTGTTGATATCCTTGTAATGTTGTTTTCATCTGTCAAAGCAAACCAGATTAAAGTTTTAGTTATATTCTCTCCACTTTCTTGATTTTTTTCAGTAAGAGTTATTTTTAGTTAACTCACCAGTCCTGACCCAAGTTTCTTGGCTTGCAAGACAGCCATAGCATCCGAGACTTTTGTTGCCATACTTGTCATCTCACTCAGGTAGGATTTTGAGTCTGTTGCCTCAATCGTTGAAGACACGGGCCATGCATATTTCATGTAATCTTTAAGCTTCTGGAAGAAGCTCTGGAACTCTTGTGTTACTGGCGATTTGTGCTCAAGGTTTGATATGAAAATTGTGACTTCTTTTGAAGTACTGCTCTCGATATTGGTTGTCGATTTTTGTTCCGTTGTGGAACTTACTGATGTTTGGTTATTCATGGAGTTTGCATTGATTCCTCCATGCTGCACGTTTTGGTTGTTCATAGAACCATTACCTTCTGTAGTCTCTTCTGTTGTGCCATTCATTGAGCCTCCAGTACTACCACCTTGAGCTTCCATTGTCTTATTCTTTGTAGAGTCTTCATTGATGTCTATGTTTTCTCCTTTAACATGCTCCATGTTTTGGTTGTTCATAGAATCATTACTCTCTGTAGTCTCTTCTGCTGTACCAATTGTTGAGGCTCCAGCACTACCAACTTGAGCTTCCATTGTCTTATTCTTGGTAGAGTCTTCATTGATGTCTATGTTGTCTCCTTTAACATCCATTGATGTATCGTTAGTGGAATTATTATTGTTTCTTTGAACCTCTATCGCGTTATCTTTCGTGGAATCATCTTTTGCTCCACTTGTTTCAACTGTATTACCATCTGTGGAATCATCCTCCATTGAGTTATCTTTACTTCCATTTGGTTCAACTGTATTAACATCTTTAGGACCTTCCTCCATGGTTACTTCTTGACTTCCTTTACCTTTCTCCATGGATTTTTCTTGGCCTTCATTGACTTGTACTGTCCTATCTTTAGAAACTTCTTCTGTGGAGTTCTTACCTCCATGCATTTCAACTACATTATCATCTTTAGAAACTTCTTCAGTGGAATTTTTACCTCCGTGCATTTCAGTTGTCGTACCATTTTTACCTTCCTCCATGGAATCTTCTTTACCAACGTTGGTTTCCACTAACTTACCATCTTCCTCTTCGCCATCTTTTTCTTTACCTTCTCCTTTCGTATCCTTTGCAAACTCTTCATCTTTTTCTTGAGCCTCGGCTTGCTTTTCTTTCTCAGATTCTTCACTTCTTGTGTGAGCTTTTGCTTGCATTTCTTTCTCAGTTTCCTCATTTTCTGTGTGAGCCTTTGCTTGTATTTCTTTTTCTGACTCTTCACTCTTTTCTTGGCTTTTTACTTTTGTTTCTTTCTCAGGTTCTCTAGTACTTGCTTGAGTTTCTGTTTGCAAGTTTTCCTCAGCTTCATCGCCCTCTCCGTGAGCCTTTTCTTGCATTTCCTTTTCAGATTCCTCACTTTTTCCTTGAGCCTCTGCTTGTACTTTTTCAGATTCCTCACTCTTTAGTGGAGCCTCTGCTTGAATTTCTTTTTCAGATTCCTCACTCTTTTGTGGAGCCTCTGCTTGAATTTCTTTTTCAGATTCCTCCCTCTTTTGTGGAGCCTCTGCTTGAATTTCTTTTTCAGATTCCTCACTCTTTTGTGGAGCCTCTGCTTGAATTTCTTTTTCAGATTCCTCACTCTTTTGTGGAGCCTCTGCTTGAATTTCTTTTTCAGATTCCTCACTCTTTTGTGGAGCCTCTGCTTGAATTTCTTTTTCAGATTCCTCACTCTTTTGTGGAGCCTCTGCTTGAATTTCTTTTTCAGATTCCTCACTCTTTGCTGGGACCTCCGCTTGCATTTCTTGCTTACTTTCCTCATTCTTTTCTTGTTCATTTGCTTGCATTTCTTTTTCATGACCTTTCAATTTACCATCATCAGATATTCCTACGTCTTCGTTAGACTTCTCTTTTTCATTTTCTTTAGTCTTCTCTTTTTCATGTTCTTTATTTTTCTTAAATTGGTTATCTTCGTACTCTCTTTTCATCATTTTCTCTTCTTCGTCATTTTTAAATTTGTTTTCTTTGTGTTGTTTCTTTTTCTCTTCCCTATTTTCATTTGATTTCTTTTCTTCATGTTCTTTCTTCTTCTTTTCTTCATTTTTCTTGGAATTGTTTTCTTCGTATTCTTCCCTTTTCGTTTTCTTTTCTTCGTTTTCATTGGATTTGTTTTCTTCGTGCGTTTTCTTATTTTTCTTCTCTTCTTCACTATTCTTAGATTTGTTTTTTGCATGCTCACTCTTGTTGTGTTCTTCATTTTTCTTGGCTTTGTTTTTTTCGTGCTCTTTCTTTTTCTCTTCTTCTTTCTTTTTTGATTTGTGTTCTTCCTGCTCTTTCATCTTCTGTTTTTCTTCTTCATTATTCTCCGACTTATCTTTTTCATACTCTTTCCTTTTCTTTTCTTCTTTTTTTCTGGATTTTTGTTCTTCATGTTCTTTCTGCTTCTTTTTCTCTTCTTCATTTTTCTTGGATTTTTGTTCTTCATGCCCTTTCCCTGTTTCTTTTTCTTCTTCTTCTTTCTTTTTGTATTCTTGTTCTTCGTACACTTTCTGCTTCTTTTTCTCTTCTTCATTTTTCTTCGATTTGTTGTTTTCGTGCTCTTTCATTTTCTCTTCTCCTTTTTTTTTGGATTTGTGTTCTTCGTGCTCTTTCTGCTTTTTTTTCTCTTCTTCATTTTTCTTCGATTTGTTGCTTTCGTGCTCTTTCCTTTTCTCTTCTTCTTTCTTTTTGGATTTGTGTTCCTCGTGCTCTTTCTGTTTCTTTCTCTCTTCTTCTTTTCTTTTGGATTTGTCATCTTCGTGCTCTTTTATTTTCTCTTTTTCTTTGTTTTTGGATTTTTGTTCTTCATGCTGTTTCTGTTTTCTTTTCTCTTCTTCATGTTCCTTTGATTTGTTTCTTTCATGCTCTTTTCTTTTCTCTTCTTCTTTCTTCTTGGATTTGTGTTCTTCGTGTTCTTTTTGCATCTTTTTTTCTTCTCCCATTTTCTTAGATTTGTTTTCTCTCTGCTTTTTCTTTTTCTCCTCTTCTTTCTTTTTGGCTTTGTGTTGTTTGTGCTCTTTCTGCTTCTTGTTCTCTTCTTCATTTTTCTTCGATCTGTTTCTTTCTTGCTCTTTCATTTTTTCTTCTTCTTTCTTTTTAGATTTGTGTTCTTTGTGCTCTTTCTGTTTCTTTTTCTCTTCTTCATTTTTCTTTGTGTTGTTTCTTTTGTGCTCTGTTCTTTTTTCTTCTTCTTTCTTTTTGGATACATGTTCTTCGTGTTTTTTCTTTTTCTCTTCTTCAGTTTTCTTTGTTTTGTTTCTTTCATACTCTTTCCTTTTCTCTTCTTCTTTCTTTTTGGATTTTTGTTCTTCATGCTCTTTCTGCTTATTTTTCTCTTTTTTTTTCCTTTTTGATTTGTTTTCCTTGTGTTCTTTACTTTTTTCTTCTTCCTTATTTTTGGATTTTTGTTCTTCATGCTCTTTCTGCTTCTTTTTCTCTTCTTCATTTTTTTCCGATTTGTTTCTTCCATGCTTTTTCATTTTCTCTTCTTCTCTCTTTTTGGATTTATTTTCTTCATGCTCTTTCTGCATCTTTTTTTCTTCTTCATTTTTCTTAGATTTATTTTTTTCATGCTCTTTCCTTTTCTCTTCTTCTTTCTTTTTGGCATTGTGTTCTTCATACTCTGTTTGTTTCTTTTTCTCTTCTTCATTTTTCTTTGATTTGTTTCTTTCATGCTCTTTCATTTTCTCTTCCTCTTTCTTTTTGGCTTTGTTTTCTTCGTGCTCCTTTTGCTTCTTTTCCTCTTCTTCCTTCTTCTTGGATTTGTTTTCTCCTCCTTCTATCATTTTCCCTTCTTCTTTCTTTTCGTATTTGTGTTTTTCGTGTTCTTTCTGCCTCTTCTTCTCTTCTTCTTTTTTCTTATCTTCTTTGTTATTTAGGTTTTTAAGGTCTCCTCTATTGCTTCTTTGAGTTTCTTTTCGGTTTTCCTTCTTGAAACTTTCTTTATTTTCTTGAGCTTCCAGCGATTTTTCATCCTTAATCTCTTTCTTATCTCCTTCGTTGCCAACACTAACCTCATTTTGGTTTTCTCCCATAAACTTTTTCTCATTTTCATTAGCCTCGACTGAGTTATTATCCATATGGTCTTTCTTATTTTTCTTAGCCTCTTCTAGCTTATCATCTTCAGAATCTTTCTTGTTTGTATCATATGTGGACTCTTCATTGTTTCCATGAGCCTTCTTTTTCTTTTCTTCTAAGGCATTTTTGTTGTTGGTCTTTGTCTCTACTGGTGTATTGTTATTTAACTCTTGTTCATCTTTGATGTTCTCTAAGTTATTTTCTTCTGTTGAAACTCCATTGTTCACTTGAGCCTCTTCTCCTTTCTTTTTCGTGGAATTACCATCATTTTTTATTGCTTCTACCTTAGAATTAGAATCTTTATTGGAGTCTTCAACCTGTCTTTTCTCAAACTCCATATCCTTCTTATTATTAGAATTCACATTTTCACCTAAGTAATCCATTTGCCCGTTCATCGAAACTTCATGACTTCCTTGAGCCTCTTCTTGCTTTTCTTCTGCAGAATTTCCTTGCTTGTCCTTCATGGAACTTTCATCCTTTTTATTAGTCTCCACTTCTGTCTTAACATCTTCTTTATTGTTCAAATTTGTATTATTGTTCGAGATCCCATTACTTTCTTCTTGAAATTTTACTTCATTCTCCTTATTAGAATCTACACGTCCACCTTTGGTCGGCATCACTTCTCCATTCGTAGAGACTTCAGTGCCTCCTTCAGTATGTTCTCTCTTTTCTTTCGTAGAAGTTTCATGATTTGTCTTGTTCTCAACCAATCCATCATCCTTCACTTCTTTATTATCTTTGTTGTTCTCTAAGTTTGCATCTTTCTGTAGTTCTCCATTATTTTCTTGAGTATCTTCTCCATTTTCATTTGTGTGATCGTCATCATTTGCTGTAGCATCACTCTCTTTTTTCCCCAACTTAGTATCTTTTGTAAAAACTTCATCATTTCCTTGAGTACCTTTTGGATTTTCAGTCATGGAACTTCCATTATTTCTATCATTAACCTCCAAATTAACATCCTCTTTAGTATCCAAATTCTTGTCAATGTGTGAATCTCCAGTACTTCCTCCTTGACCCTCTAATTGCTTCTCACTACTATTATCTATATTGGTGGAAACAAATTATAGTAAGAGTCTATGTTTGACCTTTAACAATATTTATTTTCGTAATAAATAACTTCATTACCTCCTTTAAGATCTTCTTTATTCTCCAAATTTACATCTTTAGTGGAGTCTCCAATTCTTTCTCCTTGAACCTCGACTTCTTTCTCCTTATTAGAATCAGCATCTCCGCTTTTGGTATGCATAATTTCTCCATTCATAGAAACTTCAGTGCCTCCTTTAGTATCTTCTCGCTTTTCTTCTGTAGAATTTCCATGGCCTATGTTAGTATTCGCTACTCCATCATCTTTCACTTCTTTATCATCTTTGTTGTTCTCCAATTTCGCATCATTCACCAGCTCTTCATTATTTTCATGAATCTCTTCCCCATTTTCTTTTGTGTGATATCCATCATTTGTTGTATCCTCACTTCCTTTGTTCTCCAAGTTAGTATTCTTTGTAGAAACTTCATCATTTCCTTGAGTTTCTGATTTTTCAGTCATGGAACTTCCATCATTTCTAGCATCAGCCTCTGACTTAACTTCTTCTTTAGTATCTAACTTGTTAATTTTTGAATCTCCAATGCTTCCTCCTTGAACCTCTAATTGCTTCTCCTTATTAGCATCTAAATTTGTAGAGAATAAAAGATGTTAGAGTCTACTTTTCACCTTAATATATGTTTTCTGTTCTAAAAAAACTCCATTACCTCCTTTAAGATCTTCTTTAGTTTCCAAATTTACATTTGTTGAGTCTCCGATATTTTCTCCTTGAACCTCTACTTCCTTCTCCTTATTAGAATCAACATTTCCACTTTTGGTATGCATGGTTTCTCCATTCACAGTTCTTCCTTGAGTATGCTCTCTATTTTCTTTCATAGGAATTATATGATTTGTTTTTGTCTGGACTATTTCATCATCCTTTACTTCTTTATTATCTTTTTTGTTCTCCAAGTTCTTATCCATCACTAGTTTTCCATTGTTTTCTTGAGTCTCTTCCCCATTTGCCTTCGTGTGATCCCAATCATTTATTGTAGCCTGACTTCCATTGTTCTCCAAGTTATTATCATTTGTTGAAATTCCATCATTTTTTTGAGTTTCTTCCGAGTTCTTAGTCATGGAACTTCCATCAGTTTTAGCATTTACCTCTGAGTTAACATCCTCTTTAGTATCCAAACTCGTATCAATATTCGAATCAATATTCCCTCCTTGAACTTCTAATTGCTTCTTTTGATTATTCGCATCTACATTGTTGATAAAAAAATATATTAGAGTCTACGTTTTTTTTTTTGTTTTTCCTTCTTAAAAAACTTCATTACCTCCTTTAACATCTTCCACTCTATTGCCTTCTTTAGCCTCCATTGCTACATCATTTCTTGAATCTTCATTGCTTCCATCAACGCCATCAGCATTTTCTTGCATAGCTTTGAAATTTCCTTTAGTTGAGTCCAACATGGTTTCATTTGAATTATTGTTTTGTTTAGTAGAACTGATCTCTTCCCTTGAAGCCGCACTTGAACTTTCCGACTTAACTTCGACAACAACCTTCACGATTCGGGTAATTGTTACTTCCCATTGAGATACTGCATTATCGACGGCATTCTTTTGTTCCAAAGAAAGTGACATTGATCCGTCCCCTTTTATATGTTTCTCCTTTATAACTTTACCGATCGCAACATGTAACTCAGTGAGCGATTTCATCACTTCGTACATCTCCTTCCTAACACTTGAACTCAACTATCGTATTCACAAAATAAATATCCGTTGTTAGTTCCACAAGTCCTTGAAGCATGGCTGGATGGTCATGGAAGTTAGTTCAGTATTTGCCATATAAGACTAGAACTTTAATTTTTCAAAAATCCAAATGTTAGTATTATGCGTTATAGAACAACTGTTAGTAGTTTAAAGTTCAATACTTTTTAAATATCAAAACAGTTTTTTTTTTAATTCAAAAATAGTTATTAAAAATAACTTAGAATCAAGTAACCCAACTAATAAACCGTAGATTAACATGTGGTTAAAAAATTTATAGATTAACACTCACAATCAATTAAAATTTTGAGAGATCCAAAAATATGAGTTTTTTTTCTTTCACTGGAACTCACCAATCCTTTCCCAAGCATCAACATCGTTTGGAGGAGATTATCGGCTTTTGATTTCATATGGGACATGAACGTTTTGGGCTCCTTGTCTTCGATCATTGGTGTAACAGAGGACTCCAACTTCAATAGATCCTTTAGTTTCTCAAAGAATGAACTTAGCTTTTCTCTTATAGGACAATTCTTCTCCAGATTTAAAACAAACCCAATGGCTCTATTAGCTATGTATGGCTCTACATCTTTAACCGTGTTTGGCGCGTTCACGGTCATCTCATGTGATGAAACTACATTGAGACTTAAAATTGTTACCAAGATGGTGATGCAACATAAGTACAACAAAGAAACTTTTTTCATGATTGATGATGATATATACTGATAAGAAGTTTTTTTAATTGAACATTTATATATAATGAAATGAATCTGATACTAAGTTTAGATTTGTAGAATCAATGACGTGGAGAATTTGATGGACTCATCTTTGAAAAAATAGCAAACATGGCTTATTAGCGGTTGACCAAATCATGTGGATTTCAAGTACTCAAGAATATATAGGTAGTGGTTTCAAATCTGACCGGACATTGAACTGCACAATTTACCAGATCACCGGATTACTAAGTCGACCAGAGGTGAACCGCGGGTTAATAAATTAATTAATTTTGTTGTATAATAATATATTAGCTATTGAAAAATATTAGTAATATTTTCTGTTTTAAAAACATTTTTAAAAAATACTTACCATTAGTTTTCTTTATGTTTATTATCATTTCCATACAAAAGATCAAAAAATATACTATTTAACAAGTTTTGTAACAAGTTAAGAGTTATGAAATATAATAAAGATATATCAAAACTTAAAATATTTAAGTATTTAAATATCTAATTTAATAATAAAACTAAGATCACCGATCATCCTATGACAACACTTTTCATGATTGTTTGGAAGAACCAAAACTGATTTCCAACTTAACTTGACATCTATTGCTTGTCTTGTGGCTTGGTATACAAGAGGTCGGAATTCTCATGGAAGGTAAAAGTCTCAACAATTTTGGTTTCTTTCTCTCCTTCCTTTGGCATCCCATAAATAGAAAATAAAAGATTGAAACGATTTCCTGAGAGGCAGAGGGAGAGGTACATTATCTATGACCCCACTATTCTAAATCAAAGGAATGATCACACATTGTGGAAGCGAGGGAGAGGTAAATTACGTATGAACCCACTATTTGCCTACACTTTGTCAAAAAAGCTATAAAAATTAGAGAGATCAATAAGATGAACATTAGTTGTTCACTGAGATTGACATAAAAGAAAAGAAAGTTTGGGATTCAGAGAAGGGAGATAAAGGGAGAAAAGGAACCAGAATGAGAATGCCTGAAACTTGTTTGAGTTGAATCTAAGTGTTCTTTGATCGATACTCCAAGGTAAAGCCTACACCTTTATTTTATTCATAAATGAAATCAGTAGAGGGGATAGAGAGACAGGATTGTTTAAGTTGATTGGCTAGATGAATTTGGTTGCTAAGCTAGGATATGGTATAATGTACTTCTGTAGTTAGTAATATGAGTTGTGGCTTGTAACAAAGTAGAAGTGATGATTTTAAAGTTAAGATTTTATTGAGTCCCTACTGTTTTTAAACTTCTTCCAAAAGACTAACTAATGGTTTGCTTGAGGACAAGCAAAAGGTTAAGTCTGGGGGAGTTGATATACTATGACTTTGACCCACTTTTAGTCATGGTATTGATATGTGTTTATAAGTTTTATATGCTTTTTATGTTCTTTGATTTATAAAGTATTCTTTTCATCTTAATTCTCAAAGGGTATATATTATAGAATTCTAGATTTAGAAGAAACACACAAAGAGATTTGTTGTTCCAAGAACCAAAAGTTCAATCTTCTAATCTTATGAATTTCTATTATTATCTTGCTGTTATGAATCTCTTAGCTATGTCTGAGTAGATTCCTTTGTTAGATTTAGGATTCAAATAGTTATGAGGGATTAGCCCCAACTATGGAATGTTGAATTGTGATATTCATTATCCAAATGAACCCTAATGCTTACTCTAGAGTAGCTAACTAGAGTATAATCATGGATGTGATTTAACTTGTTAATCATTATCCTGAAATTATTTAGCATAAGCTTAGATCCTCTAGGGATGTGCGAGGGCCGGTCTATGATCTTGGTGAACACAGTTTGGATTCGATCTTATGCTATATCGATTGATACTCCTATAGAGTCATCGATCGACGGCAACCCATATCGTCCGATATCGCTGTCAAAACATCGGTCGATATTGCCGGCAATAAGATAAATGGATGAGTCTATGTAGCGACTGCTATTGGATCTGTCTAAGAATCGAAGTTCTTATATATCTTGCAAGCAACTTACTAAAACATCTGTAGCATTATAATCCTGATTATCTGAATAGCAACCTTGAATCTAACTACTTTCTTTTATTGTTTTAAAACCAAAACCTATTCTCTTGAGCAACTTATCATTGCTCACAACTACAATTTACTATTTCAAACTAATCAACCTAGCATAATCACTTAGGATTACATCTTTTATGTTCCTTAGTTCCCTGTGGATTCGATCCCTAAGTACTACAACTGAACCTCTTATTTGAGAGAGTAATTCACTCCTTAGGGTTAAATATTTGAGTGATATCAGCCCACATTTTATCATCACGTCGTGATCAACGAACACCATGAAGTTAGGAGTTTTCAAGGCTCCTAAGACAAATGTTGTAGTATAAAAGATTGTCGAACCAATTCTAAGAAATTTCAAAGCACTGAGAATGCAAGTACTCTCTTAATCTAAGTGCGATCGAACAATCAGATGGTTTTAAACTATGACTAATACTAGAGTGCAAAAACATATTAAGAAAAGCAATAATTAAAATGACTTCTTTTGATTAAGAGAAGGGAGAACTCATGGGACTTAGAATTGGACCTTGGGTGATCAAACTTCGACCTAAGGATGGCAAATGATCAATTAAACTATCAACCTTAAGCCTAGACACATCTCTAAGCAAGCTCTATATCTAGATGAATGCTCATTTACCAACATAACTCAAACATCAAATGTCTTCGGTTGAATGTTATAGTAGTAATCTTTAAGAACAAGTATATTAGCCATATTAACACATTTAACAACAAATATCTTTGGTAAAGTATGTTAAAGGCTTAGGAGAGTTGGCTCAGGCATTTCATCGAACACCTTGTGAGGTGGGAAACGCCTAAAGCTCAACCTTTGAGAGGCTAACTCAAAAGGTGCATTAAGAATACTCTACTAGCAAGGAATAAGAGAAATCTACACTAAACATCCTAGTTCTAGCCTAATCACCTTTAATCTCCCTATCCCATGAATTCAAAGGGTGATTACTCACTAATCTTCATGATTACTCACTAATCTTCATGATTCCTCTCAAACTCATATTGGATTCAAGCTTAATCATGTAAAGATGAATAGATAATGCAATGAAATAAACAACATCACAAGAACAATAAAAATGATTCAAAAGAGATGAACTTTTCCAAAGAGGTTTTTGTGTTTTCTCCTCCAGATCAAAGATAATCTGCCTGGTAGGCTACAAAAGGGTACTGAAACTTAGGTTTATGAAGTATAAAAAACATAAAACAAATGACCAAAAGGTCCGTGAAATAACTTAAGTTTTGTCCAAAAAAAGACGTGCAGCGACCTAGCCACGTCGCTTTAGGAGGTCGCTCTGGCTGGGAACGATCTATGGACGTCATTCCAAGACGTCGCTCCAAGGGCTATTTCGGCTTCTGGAATTGATGAAAAGGCGAGCGACCGAGGTGCCTTGCTCTGGGAGGTCGCTTTGGCTAGGAGCGACCTAAGGACGTCGCTCCTAGACCTCCTCATGCAACCGAGTGTCAAAAGGCCGAGCGACCATGACGTCTAGCTCTGGGGTCGCTTTGGCACGTCGCTCCCGCTCTACTCGTGCAATGATCACTCTTTACTCCTCTTTTGAGCCTTAAATGCATCCAATCACCTCCAAGAATTCCAAGGGTACTCCAATACCTAATAAAGACTCATGTATGCAAAATGCAATCTAGAAATGACTAAATCTTAATCTATATGATCAAAATGAAATTGGATGAATGGATAAAACAATGCAAATATGCAAGATATCACACCACAAGGTCGAAATGGGACCCCGAAGATCGCGTAAACAGTTAGAGGAGGAGAGGACTATTAAAAGGAGCTGGAGTACAAAGGACACAAAAAAACCCTAGAGCTATTCACTAATCACATCGACCTCACTCCATAGATTTCTAGTTTGCTTTTTGCTTTCACTTTTCGTTGTTGTTTCTGATCTCGTTCCATCACCTTGTAAACGAATTTCACATTCAATAAAAGTCCATTTTTGTCAACTGAATTCTGATTGTATCGTTGTGTTTAAGAGCATCGTTTCTCACATCATTTGTCTTCCCCTGATTAGACTCTCAATCTCTAAAAAATACTGAGTGTGGATTTTAGGATCTACACTGAGGACAAATAGGCAACTTTTCGTTTTTGTTATCCAGCTGCGTCTCAACTAGGGTTTAGTCTTAGGTTACTAGAACTAGGGAAACTCGCCGTCAGCTCTTGTGGCCAAGGCTTATTCTCGTTGTACCACTCTTACGCAAATTCTATATAAGAAATTTTGTAGCTCTCCTTTCCGATTCATATATTTTTTACATGTTATTTCGTATCTTTGATTGCTTGGCGTGTGGTTAGCAGATATCCGGGACTTCTGGGAAAATTAGGCTAACTTGACCTTCCTAAATTTACAGAAATCCAAGTTCAAATTTCGGTTCCCACACTCATGACTATGCAAACATAGAAGACTGAAACAATAGTCTGTATAGTCAAGCATCACATTCTCATCTAGATGTTTCCTCAGAAAAATTATCGCTTCGGCTTTATGTTAGGAGGTTTGTTTCCGATGTTAATCGGTTCAGTTAAATTTTGGGGAAACTGTTTTCTTAGACCAAATAGGTTTGGACATTGTCCCTTTAGTCTAAATTATATTTTGTATCAATTTTGACTCTAATGCCCTTTATTTATTTCCAAAATTATTTAAAAAATAGATTTATGAAGCAAAATTTTTTTAAAAAATAGTACATAATGATGAAACCCCTATATCTATATAATGATATTTTTTTCCTATTTTAAAAATGTGTAAATAATAATTTCATATATTATTCTACTGAAATTAGAATCCATATACTACGGATTAGAATACGGAATCCACTTTTTTCACTATTTC